CTGCAATGATGATGCAACGGCCCTGGACTCCATTTGCCATTAAGCTGCGATTGAGCGTGTCAGGCTGCACAAAATTGAAGTCGATGCCAAACTGGTCTTTCCATTGGGGTTCCCAGGCTTGGAACACGCCGTCAAAGAGGTGGAACTTGTATGCCATGGTCACCTTCTTGGGGACGTTGTCCGGACCCCAGTTTTCGGCCGCCCTGTCGAGTGCAAAGCGGATGATGCGGTCGAAAACGGGCTTACTGAAGCTGGTGGTTCGTGTGATGCTCAGCTGATCGGCGCTGTATGCGTTGTCGCCAGCGTAGAAGCCCTGTGCTTCATCGCGAACCATGAGAAGGGCGTTGCCCTCTCCGAGACTAAAGTGCTCCACCTTGGCCGCTTGGAGGTGTTGCCGAACCAGGTAGAGAGATTGGGCGTGGATGGCGGTGCGGAAGATTGCCGCAATGCCAGCGGCAGCAGCATTCTCACAGAAATGCTGGTAGTCAATTGCATCCTTGGTGGTTTCATCTGCAATGTGCGTGATCAAGTTTTTGTCCTCGCCGGAGACAGTGAGAGTGTGATAGGAGTGGTAGGTAGAAGAAGAGCGAACAAATTCAAAATTGACCGAATATTGTTTGGCGAGTGTCTGAATGACCCGTTCAAAGACGGCGGCCAATTCACGGCCGGTGCCATGGCCAACGGCAAGGCCAAGTCGAACAGTTTGGATAGTCATGTTGAGGAATGAAGAGAATGGTTGTTGATGACAGAGGCCTATTGAACCCTTGCGATACGAGTATTTATAGACAAAAAACCTGTGTATCTTTAGGGAATGCGTCCTCAGCTACGCCACAGATCTTCAGCTGGGTGGATCGATGCCAACACATACCTATCTGCCGGTGACATGAGCTGAAGCAGTTGAGTTTGCTACGTATTCGAGTGGATTCCCAGTGACCTGTAAACGAAAGGTATAAATCGGATGATCCCATGCAGTCTCAGGTCCACCGCTTGAGCCCATTTTGCACTCGGCCTGACCAGTTACACTCCGCTGACAATGGAACCTGAAACTAACAACTCCGGCTTCAACATGGGCAACGAGCTCGATTACATGCTGGATCGAAATTACACAGCAGCTTCACGCCTCAATTTCCAATTCTACCTATGGAAAGAATCACTCCAATTCAACCTCCACCCCTCCATCGACCTTGGCCCTGCCGGTGAGACTGTCAGAATCGCCGATCTAGCCACAGGCACCGCAATCTGGCTTTGCGACCTTATGCGGGACCCAGCCATGACGCCATACACTCTGCAGCTCGACGGTCTGGACGTGGACCTGAAGAATGCCCCTGTACCAGAATGGGTGGCGCCCTCCATCAGTCTTCGCCAATGGAACATCTTTGACGAAGTCCCTGAGGACCTGCGCGGAAAGTACGACGTCGTCCACCTACGCCTTCTCGTCCTGGTCGTGCAGGAGAGCAACCCTCTCCCCATCATCGATAAAGTTTTTCAGCTCCTGAAGCCAGGTGGATACATCCAGTGGGACGACCTGAACTATCCTGACACCATCGTGGCCAAGCCCCCCACTGCACAGCTAAGCAACCAGGCCAGCCCAGCGTGCGATGCATTCGTGCAATTTGCCCAGTCTAACGGACGTAATGATTGGGTGCTGGATCTACCACAATCGTTGATGGATGGGCATGGTGGATTCGTCAATGCCGATCTGTTTCATTTTATCGATCGGCCGGAACTCTGCAAGGCGAATGGAGACCAGTATATACTCGTGCTAGAGGAATTTGCAGCTCGGCTGAAGTCTGCGGGAAAGGTGGAGGAGGCCTCTCGTATCTATGACATGATTATTGGGCTCGCTGAAGAATCGCGAAGGGGGTTCCACTTGTCTATGCCAAGGGTGGTCTGTGTGGCTCAGAAGAGATCGTCGCTCTAGGATGGCGTCTGCTCCATAATGAGTCCTTATACTCTGCTAGCTAGATCAATGAATCAGGATATACAATGCTGGAACGGCTTTTATGTCTTTCCCTTTGTGCTTATGGCACGTGATATGTGCTTCGTGGTATAGATAGCTGGCTTGGCCTCTCTCTCCAAGGAGCAATCTCATCTCGATCTTCGGTTTGCCTTACAGGACCATTTGGATCCATAGCGCTCTTACAAATCCGGAAACAAATTTAAACAGTATGGCCGAGATCGACACATCAGTCTGGTACAAAGCAGATATTGGCCCTCGCCTCAGCCAGCCCATGCGGGACATTTTCTCTCAATGGAGCGGTGTAAGCGAGGGTCAGCTTGACGCCCATCTTCACACTGTGGTATGTCTGCCGAGATATTCCATTGACAGTCAGCACTACACTACACCTATTAACAATCACAGCGCGACAAAGCGTGGCAATACGGCGAATACCCCTGCGTAGGCCAGTGGATGTTCCTACTCCCCGGCATTGCCAAGTTCCCCCAATTCCCTGCTGTCATCGATCGCGCCCTCCAACCAAGCACAACCATCATCGATCTCGGCACAGGGCTAGGCCAGAATTTGCGTCTGCTCGCCGCGAATGGCGTCTCTCCGTCTCAGATGTGGGCCCTCGATCTCAGTCCCGAGTTGTGGCATTTAGGTTACGAACTGTTCAACGATAGCGATCGAATGAAGGCTGTCTCGTTTATCCCCGCTCACTTCCTCACCGATGAACCGGAGCAGCTGAAAAAGCTCCGCGGAAAGATAGACATCATGATTGCGGGGCAATTTCTCCATCTCTTTTCCTGGCAGGGGCAAATTGACGCTGGAAAGCGGATTGTTGAGCTGTCCCGGCCAGGTACCATCCTTATCGGATATCAGCAGTCGCGTCGTGCCGCGAGAGAATACATCCGGCCCTGGGGGATGATGTTTTACCATAATCTAGAGAGTTTTCAGAAGCTCTGGGCGCATGTGTCGGCAGAGTCAGGGACAGAGTGGAAGGTTGAAGCCACGTTGGTGGATTTGGTAGATTGGGGTATGGAGACCGAAGATACCCAGTGGATGCCGCCAGACCACCAGGGGTTGAACTTCTATCTGAGTCGGGTGCGATGATGTGTGATGTTCCGATGAGGAGCGGAGATCATTTCCCTGCACAAACTATTTGTTCACAAGTCTCTCCACCCAGCTGAAATATCTTGGTTGCTGAGGACGGCCCGCTGAACTGCTGGACAACAGAGTCCATAAAGATCCACATAGTTCATTAATTAAGCCAATAAGTGTATGACAGCTGTCAATGAGTGAAGAGGATCGAGAGTGGGCTTTGATGGGTCGGTCGCTTGCGGAGTGACGCATCGGAAGTTTATTCTCCACAGTCTTCGCTGATAAGTCTCCTATACGCTCGCTTGGGTGGGATGAAGAGTAGTCTAACCGTGAAGATTGTATCCACAACGTCCAGAATTACAGCTGTGCGGGTTAAGGTTGTGGCAATAATAGTTATAGATTACAAAAAAAGCTGCTCTTTTTATTTTTTTTTTTCTTGAATATTATCTGCTTTTTGTTAATATGACATCATACGGTAGGATTGGTTGTATCGATACATGTTCTCGTTGCTCGTCCTGAAAGAGGAAACCTCCATAGTGCGGTTGAATATATAATAGAAGGGCAAACCACGCATGATTGTGGACAAAAGGCATGAATTTAGCCGATTATCCTGGTGAGTCAAAAATGAAGTATCTACTCATTGCTTCCTTTCTTTCGGTAGTCGACAAATTTGATTTCCGACACTCTTTGCCTTATCTTTTTCGGTGCCAAAGGAGTGAGTAGGAGAAAAAAAGAAAAAAGAGAGAAGAAAGCCGGCTGATTTTTATTACAGAATAATTGCCTTTTACACTCGGTTAGACGACTCCGTAAGTTTATAATGGGCTCCATTATTACCCAGAACAAGACTCCAAGATATGAATTCTCTGCTAAACACCACATTTCTAGTATTTAACTGTGTAAAAGGTCCTTCTTCCAGATGTATGTATCATGATCAAATCCTTACTCTATTGTACAAAGCCATAACTTCTACTTCGTTTCGGAAAGGATTACATGGTTCATTAATCGGTGTCTTCAGTTGTCCCCTTTGCGTACTTTATATATATACAAACAGAGCTGCTCTATGACTTATTTCATTACCATTCAATGATCTGAGGTTTCCGGTACTGACCTGAAAGGAAGTGGGACGTAGGATGACGAATTTTTGAAGCAGGAATTATTGTTGTCAAGTATCCAGTAGTGTTGGATGGATCAGGGCGGGTTTTTGGGTTGTGTTTTTCAAAAATTCTGCACCGCCCCTTTAGCATAATACTGTATGGTATTCAGGCTAATTGTAATTCCATAGTAGATTAGGATTAAATAAATGAATTATTTGAACAGGCTTCTAGCCCGGTCTTTTATATTCTATTTTATTATTCACAAATCCAGCTATTTTCAGCTGTTGTGCTTTCATTTTAAATGTCGTCGTTACTTTTAGCTATGTGTAAATTACTTAGAATAATACTTTATATGACTGATTGAATATATCAATAAATAGCATTCATATCTTTTGCCTTTGGCAGGTATCTCGAGCCATCCGATTACCCTAATAGCTTGGAGCAACTGGGCAGGAACATATTACAGAGAGGTCAGCCAGCTCCACACACCAATTACATGACCACGATATCTCACCAGAACATGAGATAGCAGAACAGGGCAAAGATGCTGTGATATCTGTTATTCATATGTGTCAGGGATGGAGATAAAAAGAAATACCCGGGAATTCGCTATTACTTAGATCAGCCGGTCCTCAAGAAGAGGAATATCCCTTGTCGGAACCGTCTACACTGGTTCTACCTGATAGTCAAAGCTTTATCTGCCCACAGAATTCGCAGTAGAAAGAGACCCCAGGCAAATATAGAAGAAATGCAAATGCCGTAGAGAAAGTAAATGTCCGATACTCGGTTGAGCCAAGTCCAATTCAGTATGATCCAGCATGCCTTTGCAGGTTGCCTTAGAAATGTGGACTGGATATAGAGGTTTGTCACAAGTAATCGTTGTGCTTGGATCCGCAGCGTAAGCCGATGGCGACTTGGTGAAATGCAGAGATCCCTGCGGGGCCAGGTTCGTTGGCGATTTGAGGCCCTGGACTACCCGCTGCATTCCTCGGGTAATGTATAATGGCCAAGATGCTGTGTGTCGTAGTCATAGACCTCGAATGAGCAATGGTGGACGTGTGATATCTTCGGGTGGGCGCCGAGTAGAACGCGTAGTCTGCGGGCTCCTTTTCCAGATACAGATGCATGAATACCGTGACGGGAATTCGCTGACCATCTTGGTCAGTGTAGACAAAGTCGGTGGTTACAATGTTGAATGTTGAGGTGTAGCTCTGGAATTGGGCCGCGAAAACCTGCGTTGAACGGCCGAAATGACCCAGCTGAAGTGCAAAGTTAGCTATCTATTCACTGTAAATCTCGAGATCGCGAGATTTGATTTTGTGAACTGCAGCTGGTCTGAGTTCGAAGGAGGATTGATGGGATTCTGATTATAGATCAGGAAGGGAATTCTTCGGGGTCGGTGATCACTGCCAAGGAGCCAGCGCCTGGGGCATCCGCTAGTTCTTGCATGGGACCGGCCTTGGGCAAGGCCGCTGCTCTGGGGCCTATTGGCGTGACGGGAGTCTATAGGTCATTGTTAAGCGTCTGGTTGCTTACCGACTGGAGCCTTCTAGACTAGCTGCTTCGAAGGCCCTCCTCAGAGACTTACCGTCGCCCTTCTGCCTATCATACACGTAGTGATCGGGGTCATATCCGCGGTATCCGCTTTGTTCGTCGGTCTGGTGCGCAGCTTGAAGTTCAAAGTCCAGCATGAACTGATGGATCTCACCTAGACTTGGGTATTGGTATCTGACATGTGGCAGCTTCTTGAGATTGATACGGGTATCTTCGTTGATGCTCTGCTTGTGCAGCCAGCTGAACTGTGACTTCAGGTCTTTCCCCATCGCCTCGGTGTTGGGCAGCGCGCCTCCGCGATTTGCTAAAATTGTAGGAAGGGATATATTTGGCTGTCTGCTGTTGTAAACAGTTGAGTGCTGTAAAGGCCTATTGTGAGACCGGTTAAGGTGTTTATGAGCGTCCGCTATCCTCTATCCTTGTGCCGTCATTCAGCGATTGTCCCCGCAACGTTCGATAGGTCCCACCCGCTTGCCGCCGGTGTCAAAACGCGTGACAAGTCCGTCAGGAATCGTGTGGGCTACGGATGACCATTCTACTTGTAAAGCTCCGTGCTGGATATATTTTCCTTTCACCAGATTCCATTTAATTCTAATGGTCACTTTCGAACAGCTAGTTCGATTCTCCGTTGGCGATCACATGCATTACGGTGAGCTGATCAACATCGACGGCAACAGTACACAGTGCAGCAGCTTGATGGTACTCCCTTCGACGAGTTGCTTTCAACAGATAAAATTCATACCGTGACTGATGTATGTTGTGCTGGCCTTGCAAACACGCCCACTGAAAACTCTCAATGAACAAACATCACCTTTCATCGCCCGCCCCAAGTACTCCCATGGTTATCTGCACGCAAAGGAGGCCAGTGTAAGCCCCTCATCTTTCAACGCAGACGGACCCATTCCACTAATTGAACGACCTCTATAGTTGAATGTCCCGACATACCCTCCAGTCTTCATCAAACCCACGGACGCCCTCACTGACTCTTTGAAACATTCCCATTCACCGTGATGCCCAATCTCACCTCGACTACGAGGGCGAATTAAGTGTCATCATAGGCAAGGATCCGAAGAATGTCTCCACAGAGAACGCTCTAGATGATGTGCTCAAATACACCCCGGGGAATGATCTCTCGGAGCGCAACATTCAGCTCCCTGGGGCGTCTGGCGATCAATTTTGCTACGCCAAGTCGTTGGACCAGCTCGCTCCCATCAGACATGTTCTCATCAGCTCCCAGGAGGTGCAGGGCCCGCAGCAGATGAGCCTGGTCGACGAAATGAATGGCCAGGTCAAGCAGACTACCAATAGCATTAATATTATTTGGGTGGTGCGCGAGATCACTGGGCATCTGTCGCGCGGGATGATCCTGAGAAAGGGCACCGTGTTCATGACTGACACCCCGTCGGGAGTAGGCTTTTTCCGGAAGGAGTTCTTGCAGCACGGAGATATGCCGAGGGTGAAGAAAACGGCGAAGTATCTGTAACTGGGAACAGTGGGTACTACCAACTTTGCGTATGTGTTTCTAGGGTGGAATAGACCCAAAGTCCTTATAGAACGTCCGGGGAAGTATACGACAGCTATATAACCTTCGTTAGCTTCATATAGGTTTACATGCCATTGACAAAATAGTGCCATGCAACAGACTAATAATATTCGTTTAACGAGCAATCTTACTGTGGTCGCATCCTACGTGCAGGTGTTCGTTCTGCTCTCAATAGTGGCACTTACCTGCTGTGTCGATATGTGGGAAGCCGAGACGCCGACGGGACACCAGCGGTGGGACTCCTCCATGTCTTGAGTCAAGGTAGCAGTAAAGAGGATGACGTCCAAATCTCGCACTATTCCTTTTTACGCGGGGCCTCAATCGTAGCTATTCCGATATACTACCCGGCCGAACTTGTGTCGATCTTCACTTGGAGGTAATTTTCCACATTCGATCTCGACCATGGCGGTCCCTCATTCCCCGCCCCCGCTTGTTGGGCACCGAGCTTTGGGTGTATTCTGCTCATTTGACGTCTATAATGGTGCTTGGAGTTTCCCCGCCCCCTCTTTACTGATTGATACTATGGGGGACAGCCGAGGTCCGTGGTGGGAACGGTGATTTCTCTAATTAGGATACCACAGTATGGAGGACGGACCCGCCGACACTACTTATTGGCAACGCCCTGTTCATATAACTACGTCCTATCGAAACACTCTATTTATAGCTGTATTTTTGACGCTTTCTCCCAAAGCTGCGGAAATCTCGATCGATAGGTAAATCAGTCAGGTCAGGCAGTATCCTAGCATAGTCACAGGCACCGTTCCCACAGGTTCACCATGACAAAGACCACTGTCGATATGCCACACCAGGTGAAGGCTCCTGTCCTGGTAGTTGGCGCTGGACCCATCGGAATGATAACAGCCTTCCAGCTCGCAAAACGGGGTATTCGAACGGTTCTTGTGGAGCGCAACCTGGAAACTACGAAATGGCCCAAGATGGATATCACCAATCCACGATCAATGGAGTTGCTCCAACGTCTAGGGCTTGCAGATGGGCTACGAGAGAAAGGTTTCTGACATTTTTCTTTGCTTACAGATGGAGCAGTTAGCTAATATTTTCGCTCTTTCAAGGTGTACCATCGCAATTCTCGTTTGACTGCATTTTTAGCACTGGACTATCTCCTGGGGGACAAGCTCTGGCGAAATGGGTATGAAAGCATTTCATTCGACTTCGGGCTGAATATTATATGTAGCATTTTCACATGCTTATTGGATTCAGGATCTACCGTCTCCAGATCAGCAAGCAGAGAAAATACGGGGTAACTGTGACGGGACGATGCCGCGTTACCCGTATCAGAGATGTTCCCAATCCATCGTCGAAGCCTGGCTAAAAACTCTTATTCAAGGGGAGCCGCTAATTGATTCCTACTTCGGGATGAAATTCGAAGCGATGACCGAGTCGACGGATAAGGTTCTATCGACTGTGACCAACGTAGTTACGGGAGCGAAACACGTTATCGAGAGCCAATACCTCGTTGGCTGTGATGGCGCCAGTAGTCGCGTGCGAACTTCCACCGGAATCAAGCTTACCACGTCTCCGATGTAAGAATTCGCTAGTCATGATCAGATCAGGATACCGCTGTGCTAACGTGCATTGATGTCGGCAGCTCCGGACCGACACTTCTAGTTCACCTAAAGTCCAGAGACCTTGAAGTTATTCACCGCCAAGGTCAATTTTGGCACCTTTTCCTGTCGAAAGGGAGTGTGGTGATCAGTCAAGACGAGAAAGATACCTGGACGATCCACACTCCTATTCCGCCTGACACGGACCTTGCCGATATTGACCTTGAGCAAGCCGTTTATGCTGCGCTTGGGGACTCGGGTCCTCCACAGCCAATCAAAATTGACAAAATAATGGTTAGTAGCATATGGAGGGCGAACTTAGGTGTCGCAGAGCAATTCCGCTCACCAAAAAAACGCGTCTTTCTAGCGGGTGACTCAGGTACGACTGTGTATAACCTATGGCACTGCACTGGGGTATAGGGACTTTCTCATTGCTGACACGTCGACAGCTCATCAGAACATTCCATTCGGTGGATATGGCATGAATACTGGACTTGGAGATGCCTATGATATCGGATGGAAGCTGGCCATGTTTCTGAATGACCAGGGCGGCGAACGGCTACTCGAATCGTATGAGACTGAGCGGCGACCAGTCGCCGTGCGTAATGTTGCGATGTCAGGTCGACATGCTCAAGTTCACATGGATTATGCTGGATGGGTTCGACAGACAAGCGAGGGGGAAGTTCGCAGTAACAGTCCTGAAGGACAGGCACTTCGTGAGCGCATCCGATGCCATGTCTATGCCAACGACGGGGAGAATAAGTGTTTGGGAATTGAGATGGGGTACAGACTCAGCTCCTCGATCATTCTCTTGGAAGAGGATCCAATAAAAGAGCCGAGGTGTAGTGAGCGGGACTATGTCGCGACTACATGGCCTGGCTCTCGAGTGCCGAACATCATGCTGAAGGACGGAGTGTCGATTCACGACCGCCTTGGACCCGATTTTACTCTGGTCGACTTTACGATTGATGGGGCCTACGCAAAGGAGCTCGACAGGGCAACCCCCAAGGTCACAAAGAGGCTGACTGTTGTACATTTGCCCCAGGAGACCATGGCTCGGAAGTTGTGGGAGAGATCTGCTGTTTTGGTACGCCCTGATATGCATGTGGCTTGGCGGAGTGGTGAGACGGATGTACCTTGGAGCAAGGAAGGCACCGAGAGAGTTCTGAGGAGGTGCTTAGGTTACTGAGAGAACCAGTGGCCCCTATGTAGAGTCAATAGAAGTAAATTTCTCGCCGAGGAAGCGAACTTGTTCGGGATGAATCTGATCTGGGGTGGTTGGTGCTCTATTCGACAGGGACAGTTTATGTGGGGACAGTAGTGTAGAGCACCGAGATGGGGCCTACACTATGTGCTATTCCTTGTGGATCAGTGGTGATCTGAGGTTCTTTCTTCCGATAACAATATTTCTAGTTCCCAGGCCACTCAGATACCCAGAGAGCATCGCGCCGGTCGGACGACATCCACAAATGAGGACATCCGCTGCTTCGTCTGGCGCCGACAACATGCTCATTCAGAGATCGTCGAGCTAGCCCTTTCCGAGTAGCTCTCTATTTCCTTTCTGTAGTTGCTAATGGAAATAATGCGATAGTTGAGGAGATACGTAATTATTTGATCAGTAGCAGCTCGTCGGTCCTTCCACGGCGGAAATCTCTCACGTGCCACTGATAGATCCCACATCTTGTTGAAAGTATTCATTGGGCTATAGGTCACCACGACGAACTCTCTCTCGTCCCACACACTTCCCTCCCCAAGTTGAGTATGGAGAATAGCCCCACGGCAGGGCTGAGGCGGATGTACTCAGCTTTGCCGAATGTGGGACCTACTCGGATTGGAGGCTTGGCATACACTGCCAACATTCCACGGATTTACGGGTGTCCGAGCAAACACTATACTCCACTGACGTGTGGATTTTCGTGAGCAACGCGGCATGCCGCGAGACAACAGTCAGTTAGGCAACCCGAACTTGTTGAAATTGTTCTCTAGCTCTCCTTGAAGATGTTATGGATGTCCAGACGATGTCCAGCCAATGAGGGTAGATCAAAGCGGGTCAGAATAGAAGGTGCCCCGAGCAAGTCGCTTCCACCTGTGTTTCCTACAAAAAAGGCTGTAGTATCAGGAAAGTGGCTAGTGGGGGTAAATAGCCAGATCTATTACTCTGACAAACGATTGAACAAGAAAGTAAGGAGTATACCGCACTTTCACCCAGGATAGAAACACTTATGACTCTGTTTAAACTCAGCCAGTCCCTCTGGCAGCCCAAATAACAAAGACGGGTGAAGTAATGATCTCCTGGTATATGTTAATCCAAGACACCGTCGGACTAATACGTCATTTACTATAGATTTTAAAATCCTTGCCGCGCCTGTCCTTCCTTCTGTGATAAAAACTGCTTCAAGATAGTATGGCCTTAATGTAATATGTTATCTTTAGAAAAAGAAAAGACCAACCCCTTGCCTATGATATAATGAGATGAAAGAAGATCATAGATAGAAGGAGAAACAATAACTCTGAATTACATGAGTCAATGAACTATATAGATAAAGCTCAGATAATGGTAACCTTCACAGGTATTATATAAATAAAATAGATAGTATGTCTGAATATTTAGCTGAATCATTTGATTCGGAGTTTTCGATTTCTTCACTGTCATTTGCCCAACACCCAGCTATCTTACTTATATAGATCCGTGCATAAAATATGACTACCAGACAAATAACGATCTTACTACATAATGTGTTTATCAATCCCAAAACCAGCCGCAACTATCTAGGTAACTACTCAGATACTATTCTGGCAGGAGATAAACATATCTTTACTTTCTAGCTATAATTGTATAATTGGAGAGTTCCGCTAATAATATACCCCTAAAATAATCAACTTACCTATCCATGACAAACTGACTATACTAAGATATATACTAGAATTGTTCTGAATGTTATGTTATTTCGTCATAGCCGCTGTCCACCAGGGCTTAATAGTCATACTCTTACCAACAGTCAACATCCTGCTATTACTACTCTATATATCGATTATATAAATTAGACGTTAGACTACTATACACCACTATCCCACTGATCTTATAGTATTAGTTTCATTCTATCATAGATCAGATGGATCTCTAGGTTTCTGGGACATCTTCTAAGGATAAATCTAACAGTAGTTACATTAATATATATTACATCTTATTATTTCGTGAACCAAATTAGTTATATTTTACCTGGAAATATAATAGCATATATCTCCAGTCTTTTTTTACAATTTAAATTAATTAAAGCTTTTTCGGGTCTGGTACCCTAATAGCATCAATTATTATTGACAGTAAAATGCTATGTCTTTCAAGGAAACGAAGTATGGTGCACAAAAGCGGAATGTTCCGAGAAAGAACTGGGACCGCCAGTCAGCTCCGAATGTACAGGCAGAATTCTGTATGATCTTAGCCGGCAACGGTGTTAGCCATTTTACGCCACGGGATCTTAGATTCCGCGGGAGGACAAAAACGTACACTTCTGAGTGGCGGTTTATCCAATCCCCGCACACAAACACTGGGGTAAAAAGACTCACAGTTAAGCGAATGCTTGCACTGGGACTCCATTACCGAAGTTCGTGTCTTCCAGCCCTAAATGGCATGGCCAAAGCATATTGCGGGGTCCCCGGATTTCTGGAAGAATTCTGACATGATATAAAATGCATTGACATCCTTGGCTCAATTTGATCAACATCATACTTTACAGGCAGCTGATACTGACACAATTCACTATGCTTCGTGGAAAGTCGCTCCACCTCGCACAGGTCCTTCTCACGGTAGCTCCTGCATTCATTACATACGGGTACAACCAAGCCGGAGTAGCACCCCTTGCCAATCTGCAGTCATGGTAACTTACCCCTTAAAGAGGTTGTTGAAAGATTAGGTTTGGCTGATCAATTATGTAGGGTCACCACATTTCCAGAGATTGACACGCTCAGCACCCATGGTGCCATTAAGGAGAGAAACTCAACAAGGAAAGGTGCAGTCATTGCCTCTTATCAACTGGGAGGCCTTCTTGGGGCGCTTGTGTGTGCGCATGTCGGTGACCGCTTCGGCCGGCGAAAAACTGTCTTTATGGCTACTATTCTTACGATCATTGGGGAGCTGCTTCAGGCATCTTCTTATAGCATCATTCAGTTCACCCTGGGTCGAGTCATTCTTGGCATCGGGGTCGGGCAACTGAGCGCCACTGTACCGGTATGGCAAGCTGAATGCAGTTCTGCAAAGCATCGTGGTCAGCATGTGGTAGTAGATGGGATCTGTATGGTCCTAGGCTTCGTGATCACGAATTGGGTTTCCTACGGGCTCGGGAAGACGGCGGGTGAAACCCAGTGGCGTGTCCCATTAGCCTTGGCTCTTGCCTTTCCCCTGATTATCCTCGGGTCGTTATTTATGATTCCGGAATCACCAAGATGGCTAGTTATGGTATCCAAGAGGGACCAAGCAGCTCAAAGTTTAGCGGCGTACAGGGGTCTCCCCGTCAACGATGACTTGGTCCAAAGGGAGATTGCGAGCATTGAGTCATCACTGGAGCTCACAGCGCAATTCAAGAACTTCACACTACGAGAGCTATTTATGGGCGATGATAAAGAACGTCTACTGTACCGATTCGCCCTTTGTCTTGTCATCCAATTCTTCCAGCAAATGTGCGGAGGGAATTTGATCTCCACCTACATTTCCACCATCTTCGAGGAGAATTTGCACCTTGATAAAGATTTGTCCAGCATACTAGGCGCCAGCGCACTCACATGGAAATTCGTATGCAACTTCATTCCGTTCTTCGCAATCGACCGCTTTGGCAGGCGCAAGGTGTTCATGCTTAGTGGGGCTGGAATGTGCATTTGCATGATAGTATTAACTATTACGACCAAGTTCTCTGACGCCAGTCGGGGCCTCTCAATTGTCTCTGTGGTCTTTATCTGGCTTTTCAACATGTTCTATCCCATTGGATTCTCTGGCGCAAACTTTCTCTATTGTACTGAAGTGGCTCCTATGCGTCTGCGTGTGGCTATGTCGTCCGCATCAACCGCAAACAAGTGGCTGTGGAATTTTATTGTCGTGATGGTTACACCTGTGGCTCTTGATACAATTGGGTGGAGATACTATATTGTATATGCTGTTATCTCTGCCTGTATCCCAGTCACTGTGTATCTTTTCTACCCAGAGACCATGGGCCGCAATCTCGAAGCCTTAAACGAGGTGTTCCACGATGCTCCGTCCGCATGGCATATTGTGGCGATGGCTAGAAGGCTTCCACAAGGAGATGTGACGGACGTCGATGTGCAGATCGAGGAGGAGAAGTGTACTGTGGAGCAGAAGGAGCATGCTTGACTTTCTTGCTATTATTGTCTCTGTTTCTACTTTTTGTTATTTCCATTTCATTTTCATGCTTTCCCGAGCCGCACCAATGCATGTTTAGTTGTTTGAATGAAGATCACTCTGCATTGGCTATCCAGGTAGACTCCTATCATCTGTGCAGAATAATGGAATGCCAGATACAGCACAAGGCACCAAGTTAAAAGTCTCTCGATTGTGACTGTTCAATCACATAACGCGAGCCTAATGTCCACTATAGTATATAACCAGCCATGGCTAATAATAAATAGGGAAGGCGGAGATTTACCAAAATGAACCAATGCTATCTCGTACAACCTATCACAAAGCCCTGAGAACTGTTCATAGTATCGTAATATAGCATAGTTATTATATGACTTGATTTGCGGGTTCATAGGGACCAGCACCTTTCGGTCAACTACTTCAGCACGTACTAACGAAACAGGCATTGATGTTGGGCCACTGGTGTCGCGAGGTACCAGTCACCGAGCGGGAATGGATTTGTTCGATGCTCGGACTTATTGCCTTCTGTTGCCCTCATGTCCACATGGGGCTGCGGTGGCGTGATCCGTTCCGCGGAAGCCCCATGAACATACAGTCTTTCAGCTAGGTAGTGGAGTGGGTACATAGTTATCATGGCTGACGGACGGAACATGATATGCCGCGGAATAGTACCCATGGGAATTACATCAGGAAGCAGCTATCTTCTATCTGAATTCGCATCCCTGAAGCCAGTTATAATCCTAGGACTACTACTATCATGTAAGATAAAATATATAAACGAGGTATATGGTATAACAACAAGTTTTTGACATCTGTGAAAGTCA